TACGATAGAAAACATTTTCTGCATACCCTTAGTGCCGAAAATCTTTAGCCAATTTACTTCCCAAGATCTGAGAAAAGGAAGCAACATCAGAGTTTTGTTTGTGGAATTGAACATTGTCGAACCTGGCCGATAGACTTTCAACAGCCACCGTTCCTTTTAGATTAAAGGTTATGAAATGCATATACTTGAAAAATGTTGTCGTTATCATAATGTGCAATAAGTGCGAAAGCATCAAAATGAAAAAACTTTAAATTATTGAGTCTTAATAAAAGCCCAGAAAAGGTTTTCCGGAAAAGAACAAAACAAAACATAGCAAAATAAAACAAAACAAGAAAAAACAAATAAACCAAAACAAAATAAATTAAATCGAAATCTTTACGAGAAATATAATTAAGACGAGATTAACTAACTAAATTAGACTATCAAGCTTATATAGACCTAGATATTATTACCTAAAAATACGCTTTTATATTTATAGCTTTGTTCGTTATTTCATTTTATATCTCTTTTGGGCTTTAAAAAATAACATTCTTCGTGTTTCTTTATACTGAATAAGAGAGTTTTTTTCAACAGCGAAACATTTCAACATTGTTTTCTTTCCTTTGTCTACAAAAGCTTAAAATATAGTTAATTCTGTTTATTCAGATGTGTTTGATGTTTGAAGCACTTCAATATGAATCATATTTAATAATACGAACATATACTTGATAAGATATTTTTTTTAAATGCCATTTCCTTTCCGGACGCAGTCGTTCATCGCTCCTTACATATTCCTTATCTTTATTATCTGTGAATTGTTATGCCTTTTTGAGTCATTTTCCATTAAAATTAAGTTTGGAATTTAAAGCTTTCATTCACTTACACTAGTCGCCAACCAAGAATAGATAGCCAAAACTTCTCTGCTATTTTTCTCATTACTAGACGATAGTGGATGGATTCATATATTTCCCAAGTTTATTTATGCGAAAGGAAACACGACATACTCAGCTAGAATTTGAACTCAGGCCGCCGATTCCACATTCGGTACCGATTACCGATACACTGCCATTCGCATATTTCAAATGATATAAGGAAGATATACATATTATTTTATCATTCTGTTCATTCCAATATTAAAAAGATAATTATATTTGGAGATAAGACTTACAGATAATAATGAAAATGTCCCTTGTCAGTTGTTTTCTTTTCTTTTCTTTTTTGTTATATATATATATAAAAATTCTCTCCCTCTCTCAGTTTGCTAAGCAAAAAACAAGTGCATTGGATGGTCGATTTTACATGTCATGTCTTGTTGCTATATTAATTCCCAAATCAATCTGCTTTTAAAGTTATATTTAAGTCAATACGGAGATAAGTAAATATTAGTTGATAATATTTAAATCCCTAAACATTACTTTCGTTCAGAGATATGTAAATATCAGTGGATTATATTTGAGTCTATAAACATTAATTTGATTCGAGATAGGTAAATGTTGATTATTTATATTTGAGTGTTGTCCCATTCTAAGTGGTCTTAACCCTTCTAGAGGGGATTCTAGTCGATCCGGTCCAGACTACATCAGTATAACTGGTAGGGAGTTTCATTTCATGTGATCTTCCAACTGTTTCTGTAATTTACATACCAATTAAAACTCTCTATATTTAACTTATTTAAGCAACTCTAAAATTTCGTATGCTAACCCAGAAATAAACAAATAACTAAACAAAGTAAACGAACAGATTAAAAATACACAGAAGAATTGTTGAAATCATTTTTATTTTTGGTTTGATGTACATATCTTAACAAGTCTGGGTCAGATTCCAAAAACTAGAAGAATTCAGTCGGGTTCGACGCCTTCTCTGAAATTATAAACTCAGTAAACATTGGGAATATAATTTTCTTTTTAATGCTTTCCAAACACGTTAGTGCCACATAAGCGTACTAACCTGTTATCAGCAATAGGATTATACATTCAAGGAGAGAGAAACTGCCTAATTTTAACATCAATCTTTATCGCTGACGGAGATTTTGAACTTTCAGTAAATCGAATTTCGTTCGCTCGTCATGTGCAGAAACGGCAAACTCAAATTTAGTTATGTTCTGTTTGTTTTTGTGTCGAAAATAAACCAGGTTTGAATAGAAATCATGATTGCATCAATGACGTTTCGACCGGTGCCCTTTTGGGGAAGTACTTTATTCTCAGTTATCTTGTGTTCGTGTTGACTCGGATGATCTGTTTATTGGGAAGTCTTCTATTCTGGACGCCACGTTAAAGGAAATGTTGTTCGGGTTCGATCTGAGTGTTAGATATCGATCTGTACAGCGCGTTATTTATTTGCAAGTGAGTCGCACATCTTCTTGAACTAACGCGAATTATCACCGACTTTCAGGAGAAAGCTGGAAAAACGATTAGAATAAAAAAAAAGTACATTTACGGAAAGGAGAGCATAAAAGACAAATAATTCTAAGCACGAATAAAGAAATTATATTTTCTTGTATAGCAGGAACCACACAGAGTGCGATGGTTAACGAACTGATATCATAATCAATTACTTGTGAATTCGCTTAGGGGTTCCATTAATTTGACCTTCTGCCTGAGCTTGTTATCTCCAAACTTTTTACGCGTTTGCATTTATACGCGTTAGCGAGAGAGGAAAAGAGACAGACCGTGAGTAGAAAATCTGATAGAAATCAAACGCCTATCTTTAATATTATTTTTGGTTTTAATACATTAAAAATAAATCAATATTCAAAACAATATTTTAAAGAAATTATAAAAGTAATGAAAAATAGTCGCTATGTGTAGAATGTTCTGCATTTCTTTTTTTCAAGAATACACCCACGTAAATATTTATAAATATTTACACGCCAGACTCAGCAGGTGTTTACATTCTCCTCCGTCCTTTAGTGTGTTTGTACTTCCGTTTTATAAACGAAAAGTGCTGAACTGCGGTGTAATATTTAATCTCTTATATAGCAGATAATGTTGGACAGTTTTCTCACAGATTAAGAATAGACTTGAAGTCATTCGAACAGCCGATGTTGAGAATATTCAGGGTAGAATACATGAATAACGAAGTAGTCTTAAGGAAAATAGCAGCACCATGGTATCTTTTACTTTACAATCGGAAACAGATAGTTGGGATAAATAATAAAGAAAGAAGGCCTAGATAAGTTAAATCTAAGAAGAAATACGGAAAGCAAGAGATGCAAAGCAAACAGAGAGTAATGAGTTTGAGCGAATGGATAAAAGATGGGTGTAAAAACATGAATAGTTTCTTAGACCAACAAAACATTGAGCAGAGCTATCTTCGGATAAATCCGAAAGGGACAAGGTACGTGAGAAAAAGAGATAGAAAGATGCAAATGCTTCCATAAATATAAATAATTTTTTGTAGCCGTCTTTAAGTACGTATCTCTATGTAATAAATACACACACACACACACACACACATATGTATATATATATATATGATTAATTATCTAAAAATCTTCTTGATAAGACACCAGAGGTGTTGAAACAAAATGGCTATTTTTGTAATGATTTTATAACATGTTTATGTTATAATTCTTTTGAATAAATAATTATATCTGCTCTACTCTGTATTGAGAATTCTTTTAAGAATAATAATTGTTGGTCATTGAATTCATTCCGTATACACCAATTATATACTTGGGTATATATATATATATATATATATATATATATATATATATATATATATATATATATATATATATATATATATATTTTTGTCTGTTCCACTTGACGTTCAAAAACCAATTCCCGGACGATCAATGAAGCTAAGCGACATCGATCCTGGTCAGTTTGGGAATGCCAGGTGCTATTAGCTTGGATGTGCGGGTGGTGTAATGGATAATAGCTCGGAAGTGTTAATCGGAGAGCCGAGTTCCAATTCCTCTTTGGTTGGTTATATTCAGTTAAGCGTAAATAAAATTAGGAAACGTACGAATCCATCTCCTCCCCCAGTTATGTGTTAGTTATTATCACTAAATCATTATTATCTCCAAAAAAATCTGATAATCCAAAAATAATTTCTGCCTTTAAATAACCTGCAAACGGTTGATAAGCCGTAAAAAAAACAAAACAAATCAATTTAATAATTAATAAGAGATTGATGCGCATATGCGCCCGATCGGTGTCTCTGTGTGTATGTTTCTATCGGCATGTGTGTTTCTCTATATACGTTTTTGTGAACATGCTTCTTTATTAGGCTACATTTCTGGGGGGCGCCTTTCGTTTTGATTTCCAAAGCAGTAGCTTATTTTATTAGTTCGTTTTAATATTTTATCATTTACACGGTGAGAGCCATCTTCTAATTCTTGTTCGTTATTTCACTTACGCATAAATAAAATTATCTTTTCCACGTCTCAGTTAACTAGTAAGATTTGTATCACTAGATCATTATTATGTTCAAAAAATAAATTCATGAAATGTATAAATTATTTCTGTTTTTAATAAGCCATAGAAAAAGAATCAATCAATTAATGTTTGCCTGTCAGAATGTCTTAATATTTCTGTGGAATTTGTTCCAAATTCTGCGCTTGTTGATTATCGATATTTATTACGTTTAATATGAAAAAAAGTTAAACGAAAAGAAACGTGAGAAATATATTTTTACTATAAAATTCTATCTGAAACGAAGTTAATGTCTGGCTTTAAAATCAGAACTTAAAATCCTAGTTTTCTCTCGGCTTGATCTATGACATCCGCGATCGTTGCATCATACATAATTATATCAATTTGGAGACTGACCGCTCTGTGTCAATTTGCTTACAGTTTCTTTTGTTTCATATTTTTTGTTGTTGTGTCGGTGGATATATCATGTTTCATAATGACTATTGACGTCCACACTAGTACAATCATGACCACCAATAATTCTAAAACTCGGTAGATATTAGCAATACTTCCGTAAAACGACTACTTTGGTATCTTTTCCTATTGTTGATTAGATTTGTGCTTCTTTTCTTTATTGACTTCATTTAAATGAATGAAAGCTTACGGCCACATCACGGTGAAACATTGGTTCCCATACGATCATCGAAGTTAGGCAACGTCGAGATTTGTCATTACTTCGATGGGTGACCGCTTGTGAATGCCAGGTGCTATAAGCTTGGATGTGTAGGTGGTGATAATAGTGCAGAATTGTTAATTGGAGAGCCGAGTTCTAATTCCAATCGGATTCGTTATATTCACTTTAACGCAAATACCTATGGGAAAGGTATGAATCTACTTTTATCCCCACCTTCTATGGGTTAATTAGTAAGAATTTTATTACTAAAACTTAATTATCTCAAAAATAAGACAAAATATCTTACAATCTACAAATATTTTCTGGCTTAAATAACCTGTAAAATTTGATAATCGTAGAAAACAGATCAATCAAAACTATATATATATATATATATATATTAAAAATATAGAGAAACCGCAAACTTTTTTGTTATAATGTGGATTTGTTTAAGTATATATATATATTATATTTTATTCTTCACACGCGTTTCCCGTCTCGTGACGTTCTTCAGGGAAATAAAAGGAATACATTTTTAAAAGGAATACATTTTCCTTATGTTCTTTTAATGTCTCATTGTTCGTTTTCTGTATTTGTTAGTGAGTTTTGGACTCCTTTCTGGAATTTATTCCTTTTAAAAATTTATGCTTTTTATTTTCTTGAAGAAGGTCACGAGCCTGGAAATACATGTAGAAGAAATATGAAGAATAAAATATAATATATATACTAAAACAAATCTACATTATAACCAAAAATATTTGCGATTTCTCTTTTTTTTTTTAAAACATACATTTTCTGTCGTTGGAACAACGCTTACCTTTTCCGTATATATATATATATATATATATATATATATATATATATATATATATATATATATATATATATATATTTATTTAAAATATTTACAAACACCATTTGTTACCTAGTCATTGATGCTCCTATATATATGTAGTGATGAGTTGCTTAGATTAAATCCCTAGATAGATTCAAGGCGATATTTATACAGTACTAGAAGATATGTTATCAGAGCTATGTACTGAAGCGTCTTGTTGGACCATATCTATATTTCGATTTGTACTTGAAATACAATTATTACAATTATATTCACTATTTAATGCGACGAACAACATGACAGCTCCGTATAAAGTAGATTTTGGCTCCCGACTAGAGCTGATAACTTCTTTGACAAGTCATATATTCTAATGATTAGAGACTAGTTTGTCATTATTCATTGACTTCAGTCCGAATAATGTTTCGCGTCTTTTTACTATTGGTCCTTGGTTTTAAGGAAGTACTCTATTCTCTATTGGTTTGTTGCTTAAATTTAAGTATTCATTTGAAAAGCGAGTAATAAATATTTTAAACCTGACTTACTAAATTTAAACAAGTTTAAAGAACTGACACTTTTGGGTTTTTTTAAGAGCTTACATCCATACCGAAAGAGAATCTATTGTAACTGAATCTTATAAGTAATATCAATTTAAGAGTTCTCAAACTTTTCGTTCCTAATATCCTCTCATCTTGTCCGAGAGTGATGACATTCTTTTGAGAATATAATATACATGTATGGATATCATAGAATTGATAACAGACTGATTATATTTGTTTATAATTTTATTCCTTATATTGTTACACATTTTTTAAGTTGGATAGGCTCGGCTATCGTCCGGTTCACTCTTCTCTGTGGTATTATAAACAAATTGTTATTGGTCCTGACCTGCTATCTCCGCTGCGGTCACTTCAACACAACCATAATGTAGCTTTCCTGTGACATTTTTAGAAATACATTTATTTTCACTGAAATTTCCGCTATGGTATGTAGACTTTATGAATTTAAGCGCAGTACTAAATTTACAGTTGTATTGTCTAGATACAACCGTAAGTTCTATGCTGACAGTTTCTTCTCTGGCACTTCTCGCTTGCTGAACTCCCTTCCATCTCCATGCTTTCCAGCCGATTTTGATCTCCTAAAATTCAAAAGCGCATATATTCGAAGACCCAAGGTGCTACTCTGCTATGTCGATGTAACCACTGAACCAGAGAGCAGCCAACAATTAGGTATCAGCAATTACCCTTTATGAAGGATCATTTTGCATTCATTATATTCACTCATTCCCAACTGCAATTCAATGCCACAAATCCTAGCTTTTACATTTTGCATCTGACCACATCCAACATCCTGTGTTATCTTTGTCTTTAATGTAAACCTGGTAGCGGCGGCTTACGGGTGCTATGCTTTGTTAAATGATAATCTATGATTTGGTTCCACGGCTGTATATAGTTTTGAATTCATTCTTCTACTGGGCTCACTAGTCTGCCGTGCTACCAAAACAATAGTTGGGAGAAATGATGGTTTCATACTTTACTAATTGTATTTTTATGTATAAGTGTATGTAACGAATTCGACTGGAATTCGAACTCGGCTCTCAGATTTCTCATTGCGAGCTGCTATTCACCCCGCACAACCTAAGCTTGAAATGCAAAATGAGAAGAATATAACCGCGTGAATAAAACAAAGTTTTCAGTTCGATGTTCCTTCAAGTTTACTGAATAAGACGACAAACACCTGAAGACGACTGTAAGATTCAACAACTAAAACGTGCTAGTTCGAATAGCAATTTATTATATTTCCTCATCTAGAAATTCCAACAAAGTCAGAGATATTATTGAGCTGTTTTTTAACAGCTGATCATTGGTGTCTATTCAAATTTTCTCATAGATTCTGACAGAATGTTTACGCTCTAAAAATTAAAATGGACAACTCGAAAACGCCTTCATTAATGCATGTAGTTCGGCAGGTTGTCGATTTTATAATTTTTCCGTCATGTTCTCTTCTTTATTGCATTAACTTTATTAATCCTATTATCTCTCATTTTTTTTTGTATTCTGAATACGTACGGCCGACTTGAAATTATTTTATCAAATGTTTGAATGGATTTTTTTTAAATAAGCACCGCTAGCGATCACACGGCATAAAAATAGCAGTCACGTCGGTCTTTACCACCGACCTCGTCACTGCCAATTCAGAGCAGCCAACAAGCTTGTTAGATACTTGTACTCATTGGCGTGTTATTAAACCTATAGCATTATTGATGAACAATGCAGGTTCTGAAGCAGTTAAAATGAACTGATCTTCGTAGAAGAGAATTTGTCTTTAAACTTCCACATAAATCAAAGCGCGTAAAATCTCAAGGAAATTTGATCGATCATTTTCGAGGCTTTCTTTATATTTTAACCAACTGCCAAATTTAGAGTTTAAGTATGCATCTAATAGGAAGGTAAAACGTATATTAGAGAAGGCAACACATTTTTTTTTACTATTTAAAATTCACACAATTTTGAAAGAAAAATATTCTTAAAGAAAGCGAAACGTTTCGTACTTAAATATATATTAAAATAGTTTCCCCTACACATAAAGAAAACGCGGTTGCATTGTATCAATATTCAAATTAATTTGATTTTTTTATTGATTCGTTTTTTACGGCTTAGCAACCCTTTGCAGGTTATTTAAAGACAGAAAAATTAACTTGTAATATTATTTTATATAAGATAATGATTTAGTGATACAAGTCTTAGCTGAAGAGATGGATTCATACCTTTCCCAAAGGTATTTGCGCATAAGTGAACCCGTCTTTTTTGATCAACGTGTCCTGCTTTTTGGCATGGAAGCACAAACCCAGATTCAGTGGAAACAAAAGTCGGAATAACTGAGCGGTACTAAAAAAAGAAAAAAACGAAATATGCTTAGAATTTAATAGCGGAACGAAAAAGCCGTTGATTAAAAAAAGGATTAAATTCGACATTCCCAAAAGCTGACCGACAGACACGTAAAAGAGAAGAGAGGGTGCAACTGTAGAAAAGTTATAATAAAAACAACGAAGCTGAAGACATTAGTCCGAATGTAAATAATTTAAACAAGTGTTTTAATTTTATGTTTAAAATTCAAAAAAATTAGAATCCGTTTAATAGTTTGATTGATTCGTTTTTCAAGGCTTATCAAATTTTCGCCGAGTATTTAAAGCCAGAACATATATTAAATATTTTAGATAATAATGATTTATTGATAAAAGTTATACTGATTAACCTACAGCTGAAAAGGTAGATTCATACTTTTCCCAATTTGATTTATATCCCAAATAAACTTATTTGATATTTAAGTGTGTGTATGTATTTTTTTTAATAACGTTCTTATGATACAACGCCCAAAAGCCACTCGATGTAGAAGTTGATTGTCTCTTGGTTGTTTTCGTTTATCGGTATATCAATCTCTGGATAATTTAATGTCAAAATCTAAATATTTTGTACGCAGTTGTATTTTATTTATGTAGATGATAATGGTTTAGTGTTAAAAGTCTTGCTAATTAATCCATATCTGGGGGAGAAGAGTCGGATTTATACTTTATTCCTATGCTATTTGCACGAAAGGGTATACAAAGAACGCGACTGGAAATAAATTGAACTCTGCTCTCTGATGAGCGATTCCAAGTCATTATCCATTACACCACCCGCATCTCCCATCTTACTGCACTTGGTATTTCCAAGCTGTCACCCACCTAGGTACTGACCTGGCTTAACTTCGTTGATTGTATAGGAACTGATGTTTCAACGCGATACGACCGTAAGCCCTAATATTCAAAGAGAAGGAAAATCATCACTCGAAATCTTGGCTTTTACACAACCTCGAATACCTTAGTGTCCATTGATAATCTTCTTCTCTGTGTCATGTTGCTTCAGGACATTGGCAATCATGGCTCTCCACAATTTCTTGTCTGTTGTAGATCTTAGTAAATTTAGTCTTTTTTTTTTGCTCTCTCTCTCTCTCTTCTCTCTCTCACACATATTAACCCTGTGCTGTCAACCATTTACGCAAGCTTGTTAGGTAGGTTATACGATGTTTTCCTCCTTCCATCTTGCCTTCCATGTGTCCTGTCAGTATCAAATTTTCTAAGCCCTCTTTCTTCATTATTTGCGCTAGAAATTCTAACTGTCTGTTGCTAATGTCAAGCAAGAGTGTCCTTTTGACTCCCATTTTCTCTAAAACTTCATCATTGTACACATGTTCAGTTCATGATATTCTCAGTATCCTTTTGTAGAACT